CTTTCTTAAAAATATTTAAAAGTATGTTAAAAGAGTAATCATTTAATAAAGTTTTCAAACCGATTGCTTCACTGATCGAGATATCATCACTTTCAAAATCGTCACATTCAATAATAAAATCAAAAACTTCCAAAAGCTGTTCACGAGAATCTGCTACAGTGAAAACTAACCGAGATTTAAAATTCCATTGCGTCTGACAAACTGTTGGCATTTTTTTTCGAAACAAACCGTTCTAAAACATTAGTCCGTTTAGGGGAGCTTGAGAAAAATGAAGCAAATCCGCTTAAACTGGCAAAAAAAAGACGACATTCTTTAATTTTTTTACATGTATCTTGCAAAACTAAATTCATTCTATGTGCATGACATTGAGTAAATAAAGCTTGCGGTGCAATAGTTTTAACTTTTGCCTGGAGACCGTTTAATTCACCAGACATCACGGCAGCGCCGTCATAAGTTTGCCCTACCAATTTATTTTTGATATCAAAAAATTTTAATCTGACCTTTAAAACACCAAAAATATGTTCTGTCTTATGGCTTTTACTCACGTCTGTAAAACCTAAAAACCTCTCATAGATATTACCACGTAACGCGTATCGAACAACAATTGATCATTGTGAATGACATAATATGTCGGTAGTTTCATCTACTTCTAGTGAAAAGCAAATGGTTTCCTGAATCTTAGATTCAATAACGTTACTCAAAATGTAACTAATTGATTCTATTAATTCATTCTGGATTGTTTTAGATACACCGCTAAATGTCTTCGAATCAGAAAGTAAATTAGAAAATTCCAAATCGTATTTCTTAAACATTTTTATTAGTTCTCTATAATTACCTTGATTTAACGAATGCTCCGATTCATCGTGTCCCCTAAAAGATAATTCCTGACAACTTAAAAAAAATTATAATATCAATTAAACGACGTAAAATTGCGTGATTATTTTTTACAATTTCGTTATGTTTAATAGCATTTTCACGTTCGGCATTATTTCGAAATATCATGTTTATGTAAAGCCCTAAATAATTCCTTTAAATTATCGTAACCAGATTCACACCACGGATTTTGATGTTTGCCCCTATTTGTCGAAAATAAAATGCAAGGCCAACAGAAAAGTTTGTTTTTTATTTCACTCCCAGTAAGCCATGAGTACTTGCTGTACCAATTATCTGAAAATGTTCTATTACTTCCCTTACCCGCACTAATATTTATAAGCCGGGACATTTTAGGCAAAGGACGCCCCTTATTTTTAATAACAATTTGTTCTTCGTATGGAATAGATGAAAACCCATTATGCAAAATATAATTTACAATATCAGACTTATCAATACTTACAGTTTCTCCCATGGCTTGCACTTTTAGGTTAATTTACCTGAATTTGTTTACACTTTAATTAAAAAAAACTTCTAATATGTCAAAAAATCCTTTAACCTTTAACTATTTACGGCAGACGTAACGTATCACAGTATTACTTTAGAAAATAAAAATAAATCGCAAAAGAAAGACTAGTTCGTGCACTGAATATCACTTCACAGGAACGTAGATTCCTTGTGGACTTCACTTTACTACATATATGAAATAACATTTCGTCCCACGCTCGCAATGTACAGTTTGCGATCAATCACCAATCCAAATGAAACATCGCCAAATTTAAATTCGCCGTACTTGGTAATTAAGTTCATATGGAAAGAAATGTATATTTGGTTGCTAATCAACCAATATTCCGTTGATTTTTACAAGTGAAGTCAAGGTTGGTATCGGCTAGCCGAAAAAACAAAACGTGCCTTTTTAAGAATTCATAGGCGGATGAATGTCTCCGATATCGAATAATCTATTTGAAAAGTGTCTACGCAGGAATCACTTAACGCTCAGATTGGACGAATTCTTTTAAAAACCATGAATAAAATTTAGTCTTTATTATCTCACAGATATTTTTTTAGTTCACAAAAACAAATGACATCAACTGATTACCTGCTACAATTATTTATTGAAATACTGATTAAATTAAATATTAAAAAAGTCTATAATATCTATAAAGATGTGGGTCGGCACTGCCGACCCTGACCGGCCGCCACTGAGCAAATTAACTTGTCTACAACTTTATTTGTAATGCTGTTAATCGTAAAATGAAAATAAAATAGTTATAGACAAAAATGACTAAAAATTTTGGAACAAATTTTCTTTTGGGCTTTTAACTTTTTTTCTGGTAATTTTACAATAAAATGACATTAGAGCAATATCGTAGAGGGTTTTTCATAGAATAATTTTCATTACAAATTTGTTTAATGTCTAAACTTTTTTTCTAGTAATTTTATACTAAAATGATGTCAGAACAATATGATGACGGTTTGGCAACGAATCATTTTCACTACAAATGTGTATAATTTCATTAATTTTTCTGGATTTTACGGTGCTCCGAAGTTGACTGGGTTCTTGATTACTCGTAAGAATACAATAAAAACGAACCATAAGGGCTCATTCGCACAATCGCACATACCAGTGTACTCGGCCGAGTGAAAAGCGCGTATCTACTAGCAAGTGTTTTCATATTCACACATGCTACTTTACCTAGAATGCTTTGATGCATGCTAGTTTAGTTGAGTGTACAGCGTCCTTCTAGATTAATCTCCAAAAGCTAATACAAGGATATTGATTTGAAAACAAATTAAGAATGAGTTGTCAAGCTATAAATCGTTGTATAGACAACTTGACAACGATTTTAATTGACGAAATAGCGGACATATTGGAGGATATCTTGCGTGAACCGAAGTCAAATGATAGAAGAAATTAAGTGTGGGTCACAAAATGGAACCCACATCATCCATATATGGGAGCCTCTGGCACCCTTCTGCAGGAACTGAGAACTGAAGATATTTCTGCTTATAGGAATCATCTTCGAATGGGAATAGATAAATTTAATGAGTTACTTTTAAAAGTTTCAAATGACATTCAGCGAACGGATACCCACATGAGAAATGCAATTCCTGCCAGGACAAAACTGGAAGTTACATTAAGATTTTTTGCTACTGGAGACAGTTATGGGTCTTTGGAATTTCTGTATAGAATTCCACGTTCAACAATGTCTGTTGTCCATGTATTTCGGGTCAGTTCAAAGCCTGACGGTTTCTGATCGATATACGCGTTTCCTGTATTGAGTCTCTCTCCCATTGTCTTCTCCAAGCGTTGGTGAGCGATCTCTAATCTGTTTATTTCGATATCAAGCTTATCATGGTGGATGGGTAGTTGATGGTTAGCCTCGATTTTTCGATATTCTTTGAGAAGAGTATGACTTCTTCGCAGTTTTGGCGGTGGAATGTGATCAGAATGGGAAGTAAATAGTTCGGAGTGGGTCTAATTGTACCTGAGATCATTCGTAAGGTCTGGTTTAATTGGGTGTCAATAATCTTCGTGTGTTTGCTATTGAGCTATACCGGGAAAGCATATTCAGCCGCCGAGTATATAAGTCCGAGGGCGATGATCTGAGTACGGAGGATGAGGACCCCCATTTGATGCCACATAGCTTTTGGACTATATTATTTCACGTTTTCAGTTTTGCTGTCGTTCTTTGTAGGTGTTCTTTAAAACCTATGTGTCCAGACTCACTTCAAGATATTTTGGTGTTGATTTATGAGTGAGCACTCTGTTTTTAAAGTGAACGGAGAGTTTTTTTGTTGGCTTGGGCATTATTCAGATGGAAACAGCACACTTCGGTTTTCCTTGCATTGGGCGGTAGCGTCCCTTTGCGAAAGTATTCTTCCATAATGGCAAGGTCATCCGTTAGTATTGTTTCTGTAATATCCATGTCATTATGTCCAATGGCCCAGTCGTTGTGAAATTGTTTCAGGTAGGTTCGCGATGTATAAAAAACAGTAAAGGTACCAAAACAGATCCCTGTAGTAGTCCATTGCTGAACTTCATTTGAACACTTTTAAAGTTGCACATTGTGACTATGCCCGTGCTATCAATGAGTTTAGTTACTTTTTGACACGGGATAGCACGGATTGCACGGATGCAGATTAGTCCTTGTTTCCAGACAGTATTGTATGCAGCTAATAGGTCAATGAAAGTGACGGATGTTTTTTGCTTTCTTTGAAAACCTGCTTCAAGTCTGAACTCTGCTTGCTCAATATGTATCAATTAAAATACGTTTCTACTAATTCTGTTGTAGATTAAGCGTTCCAACAGTTGGTAGACACAGCTCAGCAAAGCAATCGGTCGGTAGTTTTGGGCTGATCATCTGCCATTCCTGGTTTTAATATGGCTATAATGGAGGCCTTTTAAGTGAATTGGGGATTTTTCCTGATTTTAACAGAGGTGGAGGTGAGACTAGGGAAATATATGATTTTGATATCTGTCTATTAAGTGGAAACATAATGTTAGTATCTCTAATAGTTATCTCGCTAATTTTGTAATACTGGCAATAATTTTTTCATCGTATTTGTATACTTATATTAAGTTATAACGGATGTAATTAAAATAAAATATTTAAATTTCATTGTTGTCCTGGAACTATTAGTTAATTTCACGCATATTTAACAACATGGAATGTAATTTACACAACTGATACGGGACTATGGTCCTCAATAACACGTAATTTGGTTATCACCTGTCTGATTTTTGCTTGGGCGATGTTCCAATTAACGTCCTAAATAAAAAAAGATATAATGATATTTTTAATATATTGATAGACTTTTTATATTTTCCATATAAGATTCTTGATATTTATCATTTCGCCGACGTTTGATATTAATATTTGAGTTTTTTTATTGAAGCTTCCTGATAATTGAAACACTTGAGGCAAATACAAATCAAATTAATTACGGTTAAATGAATTCCCCGTTAAAATGTTCATTGTAATCATGCAAAAGCAAAAAACATGAAATATATCGTTGATCATTTATTTCTGCTGACGTCTATAAACCTTATCCCCTTGCACTATTAATCGCTACGACTTAGATCAATTGAATTATAGCAGCTAATCCATAATTTATTATTGTTTCAGTCTGAAGATAACAAACAATTGATAAAAATTGACAGATTAAGAAACCATGGGAAAATCGGAAGTCCAGTCTCTACCAATACATCGTCCTGAACCAAATCTTATTTGTGTACCGGCCCCTTGTAAAATCTTACAAAATAACTGTGTTAACGGTTTAGAGAAACTCGACTTGGGGGAAGAACTCGAAAACGTCGTTGAAGAGGAGGACAAAACTGTGGCAATTCCAGAAGGTTACGAAATATATAAACATCAAATGGCTGGACATATGGATAAAGGTGATAATATCGGTAAGATCTTGATATCATTAGATCTGTATTTTTTAAATTTTATTAAGTGATTATTAATAATAGCACAGAATTTGTTGTGGTAATCATAGTAACACAAGTTGAGAGATGTTCGTACCATGAAGAAACAACTGTAACTCATAAAACATTTGAGCGATATGTTCTGTAATGTCATAGGAGAACTTGTATGTACACTGCCGAAGCTTGGGTTTGTCAACAAACTCAAAAATATACACAGTTTGTCCTAAGCCATAGGCGGGACCAGTTTTTTTAGTGTGGGTTCCAATGCTGAAAATCGCACCATATCATGCCCCCCCCCTCCCATACATAATTGGTATAATTGTTAATATGGTATAATTTGTTTAAAATATAAAAACAAAATAAATAGTAAAATTCCTTTATTCAATTTTAGTCTACTGTACTGCCTGCTGTACCACCCTCTTTTTTAATTTTCAACAGTGATATTTTCATATAATATAAAAAACATTTTAGAATTTTTTAAAAGCATTTTTAAATTCAAAATATATTTGTTAGCTCAGTAAATTTTTGAAACGATTTCCCTTTGTTTTTATGTATAAATTTATTGTGTTATCATAAAAAAATATGTGTGGGGGTTTAACAAAATAATGTACTATTACGAATTAATAGTACTAAGATTAATACCAGCTATTCCTTCGATAGCTCTGGCAAGATAAATGAACTTTCACTCATAGGTGCAAATAACAAATAATATAAAATTTAAATGGTTGCAAAAACAATCAAAAAACAAACAAAGGTATTAAACTAGGTGAACTTACCGAACCGCTAATTAGGTACCATAATTCACTACTATAAAACCAACCGATTTCGATGCATCGACGCACTCGCGAGGGTTGTGTCTTGCGTCTATTCTGCTCAACGACTTAAGCGCTTGTGTCCTACGGGATGCATAGCATACCCGAACGGTACGAATAGGGATCGAAGGTATACAGGGGGAGGACAAAATGTCTTGATTAATTTATACAACCATATTTGAATTTAAACATTCTCCCCCCTTTAAAGGCCATAAGGTCTTTAAAAACAAAACGAATTCTAAATACTATCATTACTTAAACAATCAAAACGATAATTACTACAAACAATTCCTATACAAATATTAAACAAATATTCAAAACTTAAACTAAAAAATAAAAAAATTAAAATTAAAATGGTGGTTTTGTCGTGGTTCTATTCATAAAAGCCGAACAAAACAAAATCAGTAAAAAAAATGCTGACCATTTAATCTTCATCTATCGGCACGGGACAGATTCGGACAAGAGGCCGTTTTAAGGTTCCGGTAATCGTACGCACGGTAGCCACTCGAGCTACACCGTCTTTACCCTCATGTAATTCAACAAGACGCGCGAGAGGCCACTTACACGGAGCCAAATTATCCTCCTTTAAAACAACTAAGGTGCCGATTTTAGGTACAAAACTAGGATCTAACCATTTATACTTTTGTTGCAAGGTGTGCAAATATTCCTTTCGCCATCGAGCCCAAAAGTCTCTATGGATGCGCTGTAACAACTGCCATCTGGACAAACGATTGAAGGATACCTCCGAAAAATCAGGCACAGACAAAGATGTCAAGGGTTCAAGAGTCAGGAAATGTCCTGGGGTCAAAGCATTGAGATCTTCAACATCATTGGTTAATGGGGTGAGAGGGCGTGAATTTAAGACGGATTCAATTAACGTCAAAACGGTATAAAATTCTTCGTAAGTCAAAATTTGTGCCCCGACTATACGACCAATATGTTCCTTTACAGAACGAATTCCGCGTTCATAAATACCGCCAAAATGTGGAGCAGCAGGAGGAGCAAATGAAAACCTAATATTTTCCTTATCGAGAGCGCTCTCCATAAAGCTACTAAGCTGTCGATAAGCACTGTGGAAATTAGTGCCATTATCACAAAATACTTGCGATACTCGACCTCTCCGAGCGACAAAACGTTGTAAAGCGGCCAAAAAGGCTTCCGCGGTCAAATCACTAGCTAATTCCAGATGTAAAGCCTTTGTAGCGCAACATACAAATAAACACAAATAGGCCTTTTGAGTTCTAACTCCCCTGTAACGAGACATGGTTATCGAAAACGGTCCACCATAATCTAACCCACAAATCGAAAAGGGTTTAATGGCACCGAGACGAAATTTAGGCAAATTACCCATAGGGGGTTGTAAGGTTTTGGGAGATTGTTTCCATACACGAATTATTTCCGAAGGAGGGCGATCATCCCATTTAAGACCGGTTGCCCAAAGTTGTTGGATTAAATGTTTAATGAAAAACGTAATAGGTGTTAGGTAACCACAAGGATCATAAATTCGAGCTAGTTCGGACAAAAACGATCTTTTGGTACAAGGGACGTCTTGCAATTTGACTGAAAATTGAAAGACGTCGGACTGTGCAATCCACTTCAAACCAAGGATTTTTAATGAAGGACCATTTGCTTCTGGATCAAAATTAATGGCATGAGGATTAATATGGGATTCAGGAAATTGCGACAACAATTTGGGTTCATTCGAACACCATTTCCGTAACTCAAAGCCTCCTAACTTTAACAAAGTAACTAATTCGTCAATTAAAGTTTGTGCTTCTTCGAGAGTCGAAGCACCAAAAACAAAATCATCAATATACGAAGCATGACGAATAAGCGAGACGGCTTTAGGAAAACGAGAGCCTTCGTCTAATGCTAATTGTTGAAGGGTTCTTAAAGCAAGATACGGCGAAGATACTATTCCAAAAGTAACAGTTAATAAACGATATTCCTGAATTTCCTCAAGGCTAGAAAATCTCCATAACACGCGTTGATAATCCGTGTGTTCAGGAGCGATTAAAATATTGCGATACATCTGACGAATGTCCGCACACAACGCAAAACGATTAAGTCTAAAATTTAACAAAAGCGAGACTATGTTCTGTTGTAGCTTAGGACCGACCAGTAAATATTCGTTCAAAGATTTGCCAAGACTGGGACTTTTCTGAGACGCATTATACACAACTCGAATTTTATTTGAAACACTATCTGGTTTCACAACGCAATGATGTGGAATGTAATACTTTCCCCTTTTCTTTTCGGCATTAGGGACTAACTGCATATGACCTAAATCAAGATACTCCTGCATATGAAAAGAATATTCTTTTTTCAAACTTGGTTGACGAGATAAACGACGTTCTAATGATAGCAGTCTATTTAAAGCAATATCATAGCTATCTTGCAAACAAGGCGGCGATTCACGAAAAGGCAAAGACACGACATATTTACCTGAGACGTCCCGATTATGTGTTTCCCGATAAATGTTTTCGCACAGAGCGTCTTCTGGTTCTGAAACTGGCTTTTCCGGTATGTTTTCCAGTTCCCAAAATTTCGATAATGAAGAATCTAATGGGTCTTCAATATTTGAAAGACAAACAAGCGAAGTCGACGAAAGATTAGGTGTGCTAGTAGGTCCTAACAAAATATATCCAAAAACGGTATTTAGGGCATCAGGTTGTCCCGCTTTACCTTCAATTTTACCTTCTAACAACACCTTCGAAAATATGCTACAACCAATTAACAAATCAATGGATTGACTACAGTTAAATTCGGGATCGGCTAACTTTAAATTTTTGATATAATTCCACGTCGATATGTCAATTTTGGTGCTCGGCAAATCCGAGCAAACCCGATCTGTAATAACAGCTTCCAAGTGAAACACCGGTGACTCCTGATGACGAGGTTGGATAGAAAAACTTATTTGACCTTGATTCAGCTTCGTTTGCATCGAATTGAGTCCGTTAACTTCAAACGAACAAGGAGTTTTAGGCCAACCTAATCTACTGGCAGCTTTTCGACTAATGAACGAACTCATTGAACCCGAATCTAAAAGACATCTCAAGGGCTGTTTACACCCCTTACTATCAATTGCATGAACCCAAACGGTACCGAGCAAGATTTCCTTTTTTGTTTCGTTTTTCCTCCCTACAAAACTAGCAGCACAATGTGATATTTCAGGCGAATTCTGTTCGACTCCCGATGCCCCTGGATTATTAGTATTTTCTGTGGACGACTGACTATTGGAACGATTTCTATCGAAGTGCAGCAAACTATTATGAAGGTGACTATTACATTTACTACATTTAAAGGACTTTGGACACGACTTGACAGAATGATTAGCCTGATTAAGACATCTAAAACACGAGGAAGATTCTTTACAAAATTGGTATCTCTCTTTTGGAGATTTCTTCAAAAACAACGAGCACTGGTTTAGAAAATGACTTTGCTTACATAAAGCACAGCTTACTAATGACGAATTTGTAACAAAGGATGAACTACGATTATGCCTAGACTCATTCGAATGTTTATAATTACCCTTAGGCTCCGTATAAGTTGGGGCCCGCGACGACTTCTTAGATTCGCTTACGCTACTATTCAAATTATCGTAAGCAATGTACTGAGTTTCAATAAACTCAACTAATTTTTGAAATGACGGGATTTTATTCGATTTATTTTCTAATTCAAATAATTTTACTGAATCCGCGTCTAGTTTCGACAAAAGTAAATTAAACATAATAAAGTCCCAATGTTCTGTCGGAAGGCCTAATGTTTTCAATGCGGCTAAATTTTCTAAAAACGTGTCTACTAATTTAGCCAGATTTTTCGAATTAACTAACGATATTTTCGGCACGCCCATGATCGCATCCCAATGCGCGGTCGCACACCGACGAACATTTGTGTAGCGTTTAACAATTAAATCGTAAGCAATTTGATAATTATCGCTATTTATTGGCAAATTACGAATCAAACTAAGTGGAGTCCCTTCTAAACATCCTTTCAAATACTTAAACTTTTCTACTTCTGCTAGTCCTGCGTTATTATGTACAACCGAATTATATAAATCTAAAAACGAACTAAACTCCTTAAAATCACCGTTAAATTTAGGCAGTTCTATTTTAGGCAAGCGAATGTTAGATTTTGGAACTACTACCGACCTAAACGGTTCTGGAGTTT